CGGGGGAGATCTGGAGGGGCACTAGTGAAGGTCCCCCGGCCGCCACGCTCTGGGAGGCGGTGCAGGAGTACGGGGAATGGAGGGGGGGAGGAGAAGGGAAACGAGAGGGGGAAGAGCTGGCGGCTCCGGCGGGCTCCGGCCGCCGGCGGCGGCGGGGGAACCCTAGGAGCGGGGAGCGGGTCACAAATGCTTTCCAAGCAGAGTGGTGTAACCTTCAGCTGGCCATTTTGTTGAATGGTGAATATCCTTTATGTTTGCCAAAACTGCATTTTTTAGCTGACTATTTTCATGCATGGACAATCTTGGTGTTTACGATTGCCATTTAAAATTTTCAGGTCAGAGAGGCCAACATTTCATCCAACAGTTTTTGAAACGGGAGGGGACAAACAATTCCGTTATATGGTATGCAAGAATTTCCTCACCAATTCTGTGGTTTCGTAGGTGATATGTGTCGTTTTTTTTGCGGAAAGGTGGTATGTGTCGTTGCTGTAAAAAATGTTATGTTCCTTTCTAATGTAATATCTGAATCATATCTGACAAACAAGCATGATCTTCCTACACTGTTTCAAAGCTTCCAACCCAGCCGATAGAGATCTGGGTGTACGAGGTGTAATCCTATGCGTTTTGTTTTCGTGTGGTACGAGTCCTAGAACCTGACCAGTACATGTTTTGTCGCCAGGGATCTCCTTTCTGTAAATTAGCACGAGAGGTCCTTGTTGAATTGGAGTTGCCACACTTGCTACACATGTATTTGATACTGGAAACTTCACGACACATCTGTAAGTGATAGCTAAATACTCAGCCATCATAGGATCTACTTTTTATATATGCCATAAGTGCAGTATCTTGTTGACAAAATACATCTTTGTAGCATCAACAAATATTGGAATTAACTTTTCCTTTTTTGCTGCAGCTGTGCTCGTGGCAGCCCCAAGCGACAGGAAATTTTCAACAAACATGGCCTTTTTCAGGTCTGGAAACTTGTGAACATGCTGTTGCTAAACCTTTGCATTCGCATGGCCTAGTAGTGTGTCAGGGTGGACACGGTCCGGGCCGGTCCGGTCCCGGTCCGAGTCGTCGTTTGGACCGGCCGCCGGTGGGCCGGACCGGACCGGGCCGTGGAGGTGAGCGGTCCTGTTTTGGGGGACCGGACCGATGCTGACGAAGCCCGAGCCAGACCGACTGGACCGAATGGACCGGCCAACAACTACCGGCGTCGATGTGTGCGAGTGCAGCGGCGAGGTGGGGTACGTGCATGGCTGATGGGACGAAGTGGACGACGTGCGCGAGAAATTAGCTAACAAGTGAAACTTGGGTGAAACCAACAAATTGAATTTTCTGAACCTATTGAAACTGAACGAACGTAGCTCTCTCTCTCTGTAACTACCAGTCCTAGTCTCTAGTGCATGATCGCACGAGCTTATCTAAATGAGTTTGTTACGGAGTTTGTTAGCGTAGTAGCCGCACCTGCATCCTCCTCTTCTCTGTACATTTGTAACTCTCACAGATACATGAACATACGACCTGCTTCTCTCCTATTGCTCCTTCTTACACTGATGAAACTGACGAAACTGACGAAACTGAAGTGCGTGAGAAATCCCACGAGCACAGAGGGACTCCTCGAACAACAGCGGTGGCTTCACCCTCAGAACGTTCGGATCATGTCCAGATATTCCTGGTTGTGTCGGCGACGCGTTTTCATACCTGGGGCAGTTGGTAACCGGTGTACGTGATGTCGCCATGGCAGGATTGGTGCCAAGTTTGGGGTCGACTCCAGTAGCGGATCTAGACCAATGGATCAGGGTGGGCCAACAATAAAACTGTTCATATAAAATATTTTTTCTTAATATTTTTTTACACTTTTTCCTATGCTATAAAGCTATTCAAAAAATCCCAGGGTGGGCCGTGGCCCACTCTGTCCACCCTCTACCTCCGCCACGGGTCGACTCCATGGTCGAGAACTTCAGATCAGCGCAGGTGCACGCACGACAGCGATGGCGAGCGGCACCAAGAGGCTATGGCGCACTGGAAAGTGAGGAAGGGATGAGAGAGGAAGCTCGGGGAGATGATGGTTCACACGGCGGCTGCCGGTGGCCACGACGACGAGGCACGGCAGCAGCGGTGACTACGTTTTCTCGGTCCGACCGAGCGGCTCGGTTAAAGACCGGACCGGACCGACAGTTTCTCAGGCCGAAAATTGCAGCCCGGACCGACCAGATTTTCTACCGGTCCTGGACCGTACGGTCCGGTCCTGAACGGGCCACGAGTGGGCCGAAAAGCTTGCTCGTGTCGTCCACCCTGAGTCGCGGAGGTCAGCGCGGGAGAAGCAGGGCCGATGGCAACTTGACGATTCAGCAGTTGGAGCCCACGGGCGAACGGCGGCAGGCGGGTCATCGAGCCCCAGAGCTCCGGCGCAGCAACGACGTCTTGTCACGCAGTCGATGCGAGCCGGTTTGGGGCGAGTAGTGTATAGGCGATTTGATGATCGGCGGTTGTAGTAAAAGTGACGACTTGAGGCGCAGCGAGGCCATGGATGTAGCAGCGCTTCGATGGCGACTCCACACAAAGGTAAAGAGGAACGGCGGCTCACTGTCCGGCGAGGTGAGCAGCCTGGCGAGTTAAGGCAGAGTCGCGATTGAGGCCGTCGCGCAAGGCCAAGGCACTCCGAAACCGCGGGGACTTGTGGCAGTCCGAAGCAGAACCGAGGGCGGAGCAAAAGTCACGGGTGCCGAGCAGGTCAAGGCCGTGTTGGCCCCAGGTCTTGAGTCTTGTAGTGGTTTGACTTGGACATAGACTAAGTTGATATGCCTTCTGCGTCACCGAGGGTAGAGCAGTGGATCAGCAGATGGAGGAACGGCTGCGTCGGCCAAGCCCGCAACTGATAACAATAGGCGGGTTAAACCGGACCGGGTCAAACCGCTTGCGCCGGGCGGTTTAGCACAATCATAGGCGACAACTTGGATCGAAGGTGGCCGCCGAGTCCGTGCCCTTTCTCCAGGTCATGAAGATTGTAGAATTCCCAAACCGATCATGGCGACTCATGTGAGGTAAACAGTAACAACAACTTTGATTGATTTCAGGTTGACTCCCCGTGTTAACTTGGCGACTTGCGGGAGCAAACAGATCGCAGTCTCAGTTTTCATGACCCTTGAACCTCATAGATAATGAATCTGGACCGATGAAATCAAGGCTGATGTAGATTCTTTCAAACCGGCTCTTCTTCGTCCGAAAAACTGTGACCTCTCGATCCCTATGAAAGATTCCTCCAAGAACTCAACACGACCATGCGCGGGCCCCATAGTGGGCGCCAACTGTTGTGAAATTAACACGTCAGATGTCCTAGTGTGAGGACTTAGTCGTGAGGCGAACGCATCTATGTGGTAGCTTGAGAGAGGTTGAGCGGAATCGAGAGAACGCAACACAAGACAAAGATTTAGACAGCTTCGGGCCCCGGAAAACATCATCCGGTAACAACCCTACAGTTTGTTTGTGGCTAGGTCTCATTATCATCATGAGGGAGTCGCCGTAAACCGGATCTTCCAGTTATGACTGGATCTCCCAACTTGATCTTCCTACACTGTTTCAAAGCTTCCAACCCAACCGATAGAGATCTGGGCGTACGAGGTCTAATTCTATTCCTTTTGTTTTCGTGTGGTACGAGTCCTAGAACCTGACCAGTACATGTTTTGTCGCCAGGGATCTCCTTTCTGTAAAATAGCACGAGAGGCCCTTGTTGAATTGGAGTTGCCACACTTGCTACACAGGTATTTGATACTGGAAACTTCACGACACATCTGTAAGTGATAGCTAAATACTCTGCCATCATAACATATACTATTTATATATGCCATAAGTGTAGTATCTTGTTGACAAAATACATCTTTGTAGCATCAACAAACATTGGAATTAACTTTTCCTTTTTTGCAGCAGTTGTGCTCGTGGCAGCCCCAAGCGACAGGAAATTTTCAAGAAAAATGGCCTTTACCAGGTCTGGAACCTTGTGAACATGCTATTGCTAAACCTTTGCATTCGCATGGCCTAGTAGTGTGTGACATTTACCATATTGTGTTTGCAGGCGCCTTATATCGAGGATCCTAACACAGGGGTCAAGATGTTCGAAAGCGCTGAGATCGTAGAATACCTAAGGGCAACATATTCACTCTATCCTCAGTACCAAATTCTCTGAAGTGTCGATATATAGTTTGAAATTAGAATATATTCTTTACATTAAACTGCTGAGTCCCAAATGCAGTGTAAAAGTTGTATTCATCCACTTGCTATAGATGGCGACCTGGGGTTATATGGTAGAGAAGGAAGAACCAGGACAAGTATTCTCGAGTACCGTCAAATGTCACCCTTGAGATTTTTTATGGTGGTGCAAAACCATGTGGAGATGAAATTTTGTAGCATGGGGAACATGTTGGATTTATGATGCAAAGGAAGACATATGTAACGTGTGAAATCATACATAGGCAAATAAGGTAGTATTCCCTTCGTTTTTAAATATAAGACCTTTCAGAGATTTCAATACAAACTACATATAGATGTATATAGATGCATTTTAGAGTGTAGATTCACACATTTTGCTTCATATGTAGTTTGTATTAGAATCTCTAAAAGGTCATATATTTAGGAACGAACACTAGTAGAAAAAGGGCCTAATGTGAAGCACATTAGTCCCGGTTTGTATCAGAACCGACACTAATGTGACCATTAGTGATGGTTCCAACGGCTAGGGGGACGGAGATCATTAATATCGGTTCGTGGAGAACCTTTAGCACCGGTTCGTGCCACGAACCGGTACTAAAGAGAGTGGTGACAGGATGTTGTCAGACTGGGGCCCCTCCAGCACCTTTAGTACCGGTTCGTGCCACGAATTGGTACTAAAGGTCATCCTACATACAAACCCTTCGTCCAGCTCGCTCTGTTCTTCCCCCCTTTCCCCTCTCCTCCTCTCTGTTCTTCCTCTCTTCCCCTCGAGCTCCATCACACATTTTGCCCAAATTTTGTCAAGATTTGAAGGCTCCCATCCATTCAAGTGATCACAAAGGTTAGCAACTTTGTCCTCTCATCTCTCATTGCTAGATTAGCTCTTGCAATGCTTTATATAGTGATTAATTTGTGGGTTTTAGTAATTTGGGAGGAATTATATATGTGGTAGTTTATTTGATTTATATGCAATTTGATCTTAAAATAACTCTTAGTTTGCATATGTAGGTGTGGTTTACTTAGTGCCTTCCCGTCTCCGTCGTAACCACCGTCGATCGTCCGCACCGACCCGTCGCCCGCACCACCTTGTGGTGAGTCTCTTGTTCTTATGTTTTTTATATAAAAAAATCATGTTTGTGTGATTTAGATATATAGTTAATTGTATAATTATCTTACCCGTACATTGTTTGTTATACATAGTGCCATGGTTTTGATATCCGTCCCCGTCGGCCCTCGTCCGTGTTATGATTCGGATGTGGTATATTCCCTTTTAAAACTATTTTTTGCATTTTGTGTTTATGACAAATTGTGCCCATCAAGTTGACATAGATATTTTTATCTATGAGGTATGGGAACCGGAAATTCCAACCGACCCTATTGTCGAGAGGTTAAATTTAGTTGAAAGAGAAAATGAGTATTTGAAAGAAAAATGGCCTTTTCCAGGTCTGGAACCTTGTGAACATGCTGTTGCTAAACCTTTGCATTCACATGGCCTAGTAGTGTGTGACATTTATCATATTGTCTTTGCAGGCGCCTTATATCGAGGATCCTAATACAGGGGTCAAGATGTTCGAAAGCACCGAGATCGTAGAATACCTAAGGGCAACATATTCACTCTATGCTCAGTACCAAAATCTCTGAAGTGTCGATATATAGTATGAAATTGGAATATATTCTTTACATTAAACTGCTGAGTCCCAAATGCAGTGTAAAAGTTGTATTCATCCACTTGCTATAGATGGCGACCTGGGGTTATATGGTAGAGAAGGAAGAACCAGGCCAAGTATTCTCGAGTACCGTCAAATGTCACCCTTGAGATTTTTTATGGTGGTGCAAAACCATGTGGAGATGAAATTTTGTAGCATGGGGAACATGTTGGATTTATGATGCAAAGGAAGACATATGTAATGTATGAAATCATACATAGGCAAATAAGGTAGTATTCCCTCCGTTTTTAAATATAAGACCTTTCAGAGATTTCAATACAAACTACATATAGATGTATATAGATGCATTTTAGAGTGTAGATTCACATATTTTTCTTTGTATGTACTCTGTATTGGAATCTCTAACGGGTCATATATTTTGGAACGAATGGAGTAGAAATTAGAAATACTTATTTTTTTGCAGAGAGAAGCTAGAAATACTTCTTTTGTAGAGAAACTAGAAATACTTTGAAGAGACGAGCTCCATAAATTACAGTGAATAATGCTGAATGTTTTATAGGAAAAGGGAAATAGAGGTTAGGCAATACTCGAGTCCAACATTATACTGTGAAGTTGTAATCTTATAACAAGTAAGATCAACAAATAATTGGGGGGGGGGGTGACATGACAAAATTATCAACAAATAATTTGAATTGCCAAAACCTTATATATTTAGGAACAACGGGAGTATATGGTAATACAAGATAAAACTAGCCGCACAAAGTGCGATCCATATGGCCCACACCGCAAATTATTAATTTGACAAGTATGATAGTTTTGCACTATGTACAACTTACTACTCGCTCCGTCCCGAATTACTTGTTGCAGAAATTGTCGTGGAATTAACCCGTCAGATGTCCTAGTGTGAGGACTTAGTCGTGAGGCCAACGCATCTATGTGGTAGCTTGAGAGGGGTTGAGCGGAATTGAGAGAACGCAACACAAGACAAAGATTTAGACAGCTTCGGGCCCCGAGAAACATCATCCGGTAACAACCCTACATGTTGTTTGTGGCTAGGTCTCATTATCATCGTGAGGGAGTCGCTGTAAACCGGATCTCCCAGTTATGACTGGATCTACCAATTATGCCTAACCCTAAGGTTTCTCTCTCCCTCTTGGGGTGACCTGCCCCTCCTTATATATGTTGAAGGGGCGGGTTACATGTAGAGTCAAACTCGTACTAAGACTTAAACTATTTTGACTTCTCTTCCTGGGCTTCTTAACGTCTCGGGCTTGTTAACCCCAGACGACTCTGTCTGTCGGGTTATGACTGGTGTCGGTTTATGATTGTCTGCTGGGTTATGACTGTCTGCCGGGTTATCATCTGACTTAACTCCTGTCGGGTTATCATCTGACTTAACTCCTGCCAGGTTATCATCTGACTTAACTGCTGCTGGGTTATCATCTGACTTAACTCCTGCCAGGTTATCATCTGACTTAACTCCTGCCGGGTTATCACTCCGGCCGGGTCAAACCGCGGGGTATATCCCCGACAGAAATGGATGTACATAGATGTATTTTTAGCTCTAGATACACCAATTTCTACCCTTTTTTGTGACAAGAAATTCAGGACTGAGGGAGTATATATAAAATCAAGTCTAAGAATGATCATCCAGATATTGTGATAGACCACGGACAAATCCTGGCACATGCTACACTGATGATAGATTTTGAGTCATAAGTAATAATCCAATTAGCAGTATAGCTCATGAGTTGTACATGTTATTTGGTGTCATACTTGTGGCATGCTTCCCAAGTTTCTTCAGCGGTATTGAGCTCAATATATACCCTCTCATATTTCACCATATCCACTCATGTTTGCACTATCCAGCCCTCTGCTTATTTAGCCAAGAATTTAAAATTCAAGTTCATGTACCAACCATCATATTGATGATCTGGGTATCATATCTATAATATAATTTTTGTTATGTGATGTGACTGCAAGTTGAGATATTGGAGGGAACTGAAATATCTAGGCAGTTATTGTCCTACAGTCGCAACCCACTATTGCGCAGGTTTCTTGCCCCTAGGCTGGATGTTTTCAAGGGCCAACCCAACCGTTTTATTATGTTTAACATGGTGGACAATGTACCTGGGTGGACAGCCACCACTGCTCTTTGCGATGATGACTTATACGCCCAAGGGTTTAAAAAACACTTATAGGCGGTCGAACCACTTCAAAATGTTCAATCCTATTGTGCCAAGGTCCATCAAATTGCCCATTGGCCACTATTACCCGGAGCTTCTACCTCTGTACGCAAAGGGCACCGCAAGATCACACGAACAGCTGTACAACCTAGTTCCCTTGGGTAAAGTTGTCGTCACACGCGCATTTAGGACTTTGGCGTACATCACACCACACGAGTGGCGGACCTTAGATCCGTGCTTTCACCTTAATAGTCATGTTCTGCGAAGGGTAGTGCTTTGATAAGCTCAACACAAGACTCAAGAATCAGTGGGCAATCTACACGCTCCATGATATGGACAGACCGTGTTAAACACACACATCCATGAAAAAAATCTTTACATTACACTGCATTATATGTGATCCTAGTATGCTTTTTAATCGAAAATCAAGTGTGTGTGTGTGTGTGTGTGTATAAACTGAATTTGAAGCCTAATTTTAGAAGTATTTAATCATTTCCATGACATCCAAGTCGCGGAGAAATAAAACATTGGCTCGTAAGGAGTTGGCCACTACTTGGCTGCCCCCCGTAGTTCAGAAAACAGATCGGGTGCCCATCCTTTATGAGTCTTAAGAGCATCTCCAGCCGTTCGCCCCTCCCAGGGGACTGGAAAAATCGCCGCCTGGGGGCGAACCAGCGCTAAAATCGGCTTGGGGGCGATTGGGTTCCCAGCTGGCGCCCCCAGGCGCCGATATCGGCCAATTTTGCCGCAAATTTGCCCACTTTTCAGCCCACTTTCGATGCAAAATTAGTCCGCTATCGGTGCAAATCGGCCCATATTCGCCATGCTTTGGCGCAAATTCAAGAGAAGCTATTTTTTATCGCATAGTTCATCACAGAAAATCAATAGAAATCAAATGGTTCAACAACAAACAGTTCAGTACAAATTATATAGTTCAACAAATTAAAACTCATATTTCATCACACATCGAGCTAGGCATTGCCCTTGAGCCTCAATAGTTGCTCCACCACATCCTGCTGCAGTTGTTGATGCACCAGTGGGTCTCGGATCTGCTAATGCATATAGAGGAAGGTCGTCCAGGTTGCCGGTAGGTGGTGATCAACTTGGGTAAGAGGACCCTGCCTGTAATATGGTTCAGTGTCAAACACTGGCTTTTCCTGCTCGCTCTCAATGACCATGTTGTGCAAGATTACACAACAAGTCATGATCTTCCACATTTGATCTTTTGACCAGGTCTGAGATGGGTACCAAATGCCCGCTCTACATCCTTTACATCCTTCCTACAAGCCTCCTGAACCTTCGCAAAGTGACAGTACTTGCCTCCTGGCACAGGGTTTGAGATAGTCTTCACAAATATGGACCATCTCGGATTGATGCCATCTGCTAGGTAGTATCCCTTGTTGTAGTGTCGCCCATTGACCTAGGAGTTCATCTGAGGAGAATGACCTTCAACAAGCTTAGCAAAGACAGGGGAGCACTGCAGTATGTTGATGTCGTTGTGAATTCCTGGCATACCAAAGAACGAGTGCCAAATCCATAGGTCGTGTGTGGCCACTGCCTCAAGTGCCACACTGCAACCGCCTTTGGCACCTTTGTACATCCCCTGTCAAACAAATGGACAGTTTTTCCATTTTCAATGCATGAAATCGATGCTTCCAAGCATCCCAGGAAATTCTCTTGCTGCATTATGTGCTAGGATCCGAGCAGTGTCTTCAGCATTGGGTGATCGCAAGTATTGTGGTCCAAACACTGCCACGCTGCCCTGCAGAACTTGAAGAAACATTCAATGGTCGTGGACTCAGCCATGCACCCCTGGTCTTCGAGTGAATCACCGGGAGCTCCGAATGCAAGCATCCTCATAACTGTCGTGCGCTTCTGGAGTGAGGTGAATCCCAGTGTGCCAGTCCAATCCTTCTTGCACTTGAAGTAGCCGTCGAACACCCGGATCGAATTTGTCGCCCTATAGTGGAGCGTCGGTAAAGTAGTCAGAGTAGAGCAAGCAATAGCCTTCCAGTCGATGCCGGTTCTTTGCCTTCAGCCGGCCTGGCGCCGAGCCACCTCACCGCGACTTTGCATTGCTCACGAGCAGGCCGACCAGGGCGGCGAGGTACTTAAAATGCTCTTCGTACTGGACGTCGGCATCGGCTTCCTCCTCTTGCAGCGCCATGAGTGCCTCCTTGTTGTCTGAGTAAATCGCCGGGCGGACAAATCGTCGAACACCTGGCAGGCGTGGTAGAGCGCAGCCGCCGATATCCCGCCCTGCGCGGTCAGAGCGCCGGAAAGCTCGCCCAGGAACAGGGTTGAGGATGCCACGACGGAACCCTCTCTTTTCTGGCGGGGGAATGGCCTACCTAGAGGTGGTGGGGGTTGGTCGGCGCCGGGACCGGCAATGCGGAAGGAGGGCGTGCGTGTGCGGGGGCGAATCTGGGCATGCAAAGATTCATTTTCGCCTGACAGTGGTGGCCCAGACGCTCTTCTCCCTTCTGTCGGGGCCCCCAAGTGCCCCCCCAGTGCGCTAGGTTCGGCCAGAGATCGCCGGGCCCAAAAACGGGTCAAGCAGGCGGATTTCGGCGTCTTGGGGGCGCGACTGCGGGTTTTTTTCCTGCGTCGGCACGAAAAAATTGCCCTGGGCTTGTTGAGGGCGCGGCTGGAGATGCTCTAACGACGTAAACTTCAAGCAGTCCCAAATAGTGAGCCAAGTTTGGTTCTGTTCACAGTTGGGCCACCGTTATGGTGTGATCATCCTCACCCGCCCCAACCACTCGCGCAGGTAACCTTCCCCACAACC